GAGCCATGGAGAGGCACGTGGAAAAACAGCACCTGTGGAAGAAAATGTTTGAGTATTATCTGACAATGTGCAATCTTTCCTTCAAATTTGAGTACCACCCAAAGAGATCTTGTAGTGATGAATGAAGAAATAGCCAGAGCCCTACATTGTCAGGTAGAGCCTGTATTCTCTAGGGATGTATACAACATCTAGGGCAAGAAGGATCCTTCTCCTTTCTCACTTCAACCTGTCCTACCTGCCGTCACACATGTCAGTCTGGGCTCCATCTGGCTGAACTGGACAGCTACTCTCTATCACTGGAAAGGGCCTTACAGGGCTTCTAGGACAATGAGTCAAGAGCAAAGATTTCTCAGGACCATGTGACTTACTTGAGAGGCGCACAGTAGTTTTCTTCTCAGTCTGCACCAGGGGGTTCAGGATTTGACAGGTGACTTCTCCCACTTCCTCTCCTGTAACTGTGACTCGACTCAGCACACTGAAGAGTTGCTTGTTGTCCTGGTGTATTGTAGTGTCTGGAGACAACCTCTGTTTATTCTGAGTAACCCACTGGACAGTAGGTTTGGGGAACCATCCATGTGATCTGCAGGCAAGCTCGAGCCCTTGCCCTTGGGGACCCAATATTTCAAAGAATACTTCACTGATACCTTAAAGGCAAGAGAGTTTGTTAGTGGGAGAAGTGTGTTTCCATGGACGCAGCTCTACCTTGGATTTACAGTTCTTTCTTAATCTAGAGTTTGGCCCAATTTCCAGTTTCTCTCAGTCCTTAATCCAATCCTTAAAATGGTCTTTCTGAGATCCCAGACTCTATCTGCCATATATGCCATTTTTTCTTTGGCTGAGAAAAAGCCACACTGCAGGATGACTTTGTCTCTTAGCTCCCCACTACTTCTTGGGAGAGACAGAGAGAGGATGTGTGACTTTATATCCGTGTTTTAGCATGAAAAAGCCTGAGGAGTTAGAAAGCACAAAACAGCACAATAAATCATGTTCAGCTTTTTTCTTGGCACATCCCTAGTTCATGCTAGGTGGGCATAAAGGTGGACATAGATGGTCACTGCATAGGGACTACACCAAAGCTGCTCTAGTGTGGTGAGGTGGGAGGCACCACACTTATTTCTAAGTCAGACTCCTGAGTCTGAGCTGGATTTCATAGGAATTTTTTGTGTTCAATAGTAAGAAATGGGCACTAGCCAGAAGTTTTTCCTCTCTCCTATCTCAAAACCTTGTCTAATCTCATTTGGATTAAGAGATGCTGTTTTCCATCAGTCCAGGCTGACCAGCTCCACCTGACAGTATAGATACCTGTACACAAATGATATCTACTGTCCAACTGGGAGGTGAACTGCTGGCTCAGAACCTCTCCTTAACCCAGTTGAGAAGTTGCAAGAGTGAAGACAGGGGAACCATTCAGTCAAGGATCTTGAATACTTGTATGTCTATCAAGTGGTCTTATATCAACCCAGCAGTGATTATTGCAGCTAGCCAGCCCCATGCATGCCACAACAAGGCTCAGACGAGGGCTAAAGCCTTCAGAACATCCTTTGGCCTAGGAACTCAACCCCGTCTCTTAGCAGCTTTAAGAAGCTGTTCCTGCATGCTCCATTTCAACATACAATGCAACTGCCTTTGAGTAAGCATGCTGAAATCCAGGCCCTGTCTCTCCCAGAAGATTCAGGTTTAAAACTGCCTCCTTGCTTAAAACTACTACTGGTATCCCTACCATGGCAGGGGGGGTTGGAACTGGATGATCTTTAAGGTCCTTTCCAACCCAAACCATTCTATGATTCTACAAAGGCTACCATGACCCTCACGGGGCTGGTCAGATCACCAGTTCCCCGGGTTCTCCCCTGGGTGGTGGCACATAGGTTGAACTTTTCTTGGCTCCTTACAGACCTCTCAGTGACTTAGAATTAAAGTATCACATCTGATCAAAAAGTAGGTGCCATGTTGCCCACTGGCTGACATGAATGGGGACTTGATATGTTGGGTTGTATGAGGGGGGCATCAGCTGGAGGACAGTGCACTTTTGGAGAGCTTTTGTCCCTCTGTAAAGACTCCACCCCTTCCATGAAATTTCCAACCTGCAATGCTGAGCACAGTGGCTGTATCAGCACTCCAGTCCCTGGACTTCACGACGCAGCTGTATGTTCCTTCATCTTCTGGCTGGATGTTCTTCAATATTAGGGACACATTCCCAGTGGCAAATCCATCTGTTGGCAATGATGTCCTCCCGAGGTATTTCTGTGCTGGTTTGCCACCAAACTGCCTGAATGTGTGGATACCCTCTATACGCCCATCTGTGATTTTCTTCCATTGCACTTCAATGTTGTCTAGTGGCTTGGTGGAGGACACATGGCAAGGAAGGATTGTGTCCTGGCCAACAACTCCCATTACATTCTGGGGAGAGGTGACCACAAAATTTTCTGTGAAAACCAAACTTGAGTGAGAATCGGACTGAAAACAATCAGAAAATGTACAACTGTGAAGGACACAGAAAACTGGGACAAACATTTATCCCTGTTCCAGAGAAAGGAGAACAATTGAAAGTTGTAAATACTCGCTAATGACATTGGTCCCTTCTGTTAAGGCACATTCAGGCCAGGAGACAATAGAACACACCAGAAAGATGCCAAACAATTAAAAACAAAAATCCCAGGAGATATTTTGGGGAAATTGACAATTTGGGAAAAAAATTAGGAAAGCATAATCAATGATTTGATGAAAATGGTTAACATGTTTTCTTTAGTTTCTATAAAAGCTTCTTTAGTTTTTATAACATATATATAAATTCATTTTGGTTCAGAGAATTCACTCCGTCACTTTCTCCTTTTTTTGTTTTCCCTGGGGCAAAATGGGAACTGGGGAAACTGGAAAGCCCAAAGTGATAGAAGAGAGGGAGAAACTGGGCTAATAAAAGTGATATAGGATGGGATTATCTTGAGGAAAAGGAGGCAGAAGCTAAAAAGAATGTACAGAGGCATTTCATCCAGCTTCCCAGCCTGCCTTGATCCTTTCCAAGCCCGTGTCACCAGCAGTGGGACAGGTGTGCCCATGCAGACAGGGAAATGGCATTGGTGCTGGGTCAGGGGTAGATGTGGCAGAGCTGCATTGATTTAGGACTTCCTCATCTCCACCAAGGGATAGAAATTCAAGCTGGAAAGGATTGGATTCCCCAAGAGCAGAGTGGGAGAGCAGCTCTGTCTCTTTTGGAGTTAAAATTAGGAGTTCTCAGGAGACCATGACACTTAGCTTGAGCACTTCTTATCATCTGCAGACTTTAATCCCTCAGAAATGAGCAGAAGAGCTTAAGAAAGCAATTACCTGAGAAAGGGACAGCTGCAAGCAATGCCCCAGCAAACAAGAGCCATCTCCTCTGTTCCATACCTGCAGTCACACATGTGGGACAATCATGCAGCTGACCTGAAACAGGCACAGGAGGGAAGTACACAAAGAAGGGAAATCCTGTCCCAAACCCACCTGATATCTTTCAAATGACACTTGCCATCGGCTACACCTTCTGAAGGTGCAAAGCACTCAAGCAGTTGAGTTTAGACAATCAAGAAAACTTGTGCCTTCCCAGAGATCTCAATTGGCTTTTCAGCTTCTGGGAATTTCTCATGGTCTAACATGCTCCCAGGAAGTTGTGACAGGGTGTGCAAGAGAGAAAAATTCAACCCAGCCCCCATTGCTTGCTGCAAAATTTGATGGACGTCTTAATTAACACACCAGCTTAAAACTCTGGGTTGCACAACTCTGTGTCCATGCTCTGAGATGGGGGCAGGAGGGAGGAGGAAGAAATTCTGTTTATCTACTCCCATGCCTAAGTTTGGAGGATGGAGAAACCGTTATGTTTGCTGCCCTGAAGATCCATAGAGCCGGCAATGTGTGCTGGCAGCCCAGAAGGCCAATAACCATGTCCTGGGCTGCATCAAGAGAAGAGTGGACAGCAGGTAGAGGGAGGTGATTCTCCCCCTCTACTCCAGACCCCACCTGGAGTACTGCATCCAGTTCTGGAGCTCCCATCACAACAGAAACATAGAGCAGATAGAACAAGTCCAGAGGAGGCCACCAGGATGATGCGAGGGCTGGAGCAGCTCTGCTGTGAGGACAGGCTGAGAGAGTTGGGGCTGTTGAGCCTGGAGAAGAGAAGGCTCCGGGGAGATCTTATAGCAGCCTTCCAATACCTGAAGGGGGCCTATAGGAAAGCTGGGGAGGGACTTTTCATAAGGGCAGTTAATGACAGAACAAGGGGAAATGGTACTAAACTGAAAGAGGGGAGGTTAAATTAGATATTAGGAAGAAATTCTTGACTGTGAGGTTGGTCAGACACTGGAACAGGTTGGCCAGAGAAGCTGTGGCTGCTCCTCCCTGAAAGTGTTCAAGGCCAGGCTGGATTAGGCTTTGAGAAACCTGGTCTAGTGGAAGGTGTCCCTGCTGATGGCAGGGGGGTTGGAACTGGATGGGCTTTAAGGTCCCTTCCAACCCAAAACATTCTGTGATTCTGATTCTATGAAGGTATAGCTTCCAGAGAACCATCAGACTGTAGAGTGACTGCTCTGAGACAAACCTGATATAATGTAGGGAGCTGCACCACAGTCAGCTTTGCTGCACTACACTAAAAACCTTGCCCTTCTCTCTCTCTGGCCCTCTTTGTGGACTTTGACATTTCCAGTAGATGGTTGACTGTCCTTATCTCAGTCCCCGTAGCAACACTTTTGATGTGATATCTTTATTACTTTATTAGTGTTCAATATTCCATGTTTAGCAAACAGTGAGGAATGTAGGGCAACCTGATGACTTCCAAGCAGGAATAAATCAACCTGCACTGTTGTGTCTGGAGGCATCCTTACATCCCACAAAAGGTGACCTATAGGTCTCACAGCTCCATCTGATGTGACTAAATTGGATGCTGTTAGACTAGGCATGATGGTGTGGCAAGGCATACCACTAATCTACCCTATTCTTAATTAATTCTGGTTGCTCTTAGGAATATTTATGATACATGGAGGGAAATGGGCATTGCTAGGTCTCATATCTTCCAAGAAGCCAGAGGTCTTAAGGTGATGACCACAGCCTTAGCTCCACTGACTGCATGGTGAACATCTCCATAAACTAACGCAGGCAGGTCAGGGTGTTGAATGTGACACTGCAACTGGCACTAAATTTTATAAACGATCATGCTAAATTCTGCTCTTTCTATTCTCCAGGAGTTTTTGTGGTTTTGGACACACACTAAGTTGGTCCTTTCAGGTAATTCTCCCAGGAGGCCATATGAAGTTTTGTTGGAGACATTAATTTGGAGATCTAATATAGGAAAGGGATTAATCTTGCTTAGAGATGAGGGAAGTTGCTCCTCAGTTGCTTAAAAAGAGGTCTCTAGGGCTATTTCAAATATTATTTGGGTTGGGGTACTAAAACAGGCATTTGGGGAGGGGCAAAGCAGATATGACACAGGATTTGTAGAAACCTGTTCCCATTTGGATCAGCAGCTGGAGGCTTAGACACTCAAAAATGTCACAAGACACCTCTGCTTAGACTTCACCTGGCTCTTACAGAATCAATTGAAATTCAGGGAATTCCCACCCATCCAACCTACTTTCAGCTTCTACCCAAGCCTGAGATAACTTGCACTGATGCTACTGGATACATCAGAGAGCAGAAAGCAACATCAGATACAGACAGGAATATATAGACAGGTGAGTTCCAGCCACCACATACTGAGACCTTAGGCACCTCGAATACCAACACTCATATTTCTGCTGACAAATGTCACATTTTTTCTTACATCTAACTTTTAAAAATTTTCCTGTTGTCCAAGGAGGGTCCAAAAGAAACCTTGCTGTCCAACAAGTCATCATTTACTACTTCAGAGACCAAATCCACATTCCCAAATAAGCTGAATGTTTTTCAGATGACAACATGTTAAAATAGGCCTTTAAAAAAAAAACACGAACAACGTTCTCTTAGTCCCCTTGGACTTCAGGTTCAGCACTGCTGAGCAGACATACTGTGACATATTTTAATGAAGATCAATAATCATTGATACACTAAAAGGGTAGAAAAGGGAGTTGGGTTAATGTTGTGTGATAGTTTCACTGAGCTAACCCTTGGCTAGCAGCCAATACAGCCATTCACCCACTTTCCCCCCAACTCCGGGGGGTAGGGAAGAGGGTTGGGGGGGGGGGCAAGGATAAGGAGGCTTGTAGGTTGAGATAAGAACAGTTTAATAATAGAGAGAAAACTTAAGAGAATACTATTAATAATATTAAAATAATATTAATAATATTAAAATAGTAAAGATAATAATAAGAGTAACAATTAAGTTTATTAATTTAAGTATTCTTCTCCCCCCTTAAATCTTGTGCTTGTGGACAATGTCATGATGACTTGATGTTTGCTGCATACAACTTGACAATCTCAATTCTAAGTACTAATCAGGAAATTTGAAACTTTTTAACATATCTGCAGATGCAGCTAACCCCCTGGGTGACATGATAACTATTGTCATCCTGAGTTACTGGAATATCTAGATAGTGTCATACTTTTCCCACTTTCAACAGGAGAGTTTCAAGGGACTATACTTCATCAGCCTTCTTTTACCCCAAGGCACTGCCCCAAGGGTGTCCCTGGACTCAACAGCTTCCCCTTCAAAGTCATACTGGGAAAGCACAGACAACTCTATACACCACAGACAACCAAAAAATCCTTGGTGAAACGAAAATCTAACCCAGATGACCAACTGATACCTCATTTTTTCCCTCAGATGACCATTCTCTGTCACTTTTATTTTCCTCTCTCAGCTCTACCAGGAACAGCCATGCTGCTGATACCCCCAGTTCCTTCCTGCCTGAACCTGAGGAGACATGGGGGATGAGAAGAGCCCACTGGTGCCTGTGTGTACACCTTGGATGAAGGAAAGAGAGTGTTCCCCTTCCATCCTGACAGCAGCACTGCATTCACCACTTGTTCAGAAGTTAAAGAATTGAGAGAGACATGCTTACCTTCCTTCATGAACAAAGGTGACCAGTGATATGGAACAGCTATTTTTTTCCTCCTTGCCAGAGAAACTTAACTTCCAGCTGCAGAACAGAAGAAAAAAATGAAAAGAACCAGGTACTGAAATTTAAATTCGCTGTTTCTCTGCCCAAAAGTCACTTCTCTTCTTAAAGGTCATGTCTCATCTTCCATAGGGGAGGTATATTTTTGTGTTGAAATAAATTAGGTGCAAACAGAGCTTCGGTGTTATGGAGAGGTTTTAGATAACCTGGCTTCCTTCTCAATATCCACTGCTTAGCACCAAAAGTGAGCCTTATTTCAGCATGAAAGTTGGTTTTTACCTGTTGTCAGGTAAGAAAGATCTCCACATCTTCAATCTGTGGATCAAAGATGAACTTTGATCAATGAAACTGAAACAAAGAATGAAATATTAAAGATTAACTCAGTTAATCTTAATGGTTCCTTCAGAAAATATCCACTGGGTCCTCCATGGGCTTCAGTGTGGATTTTTGCTTTGACATGGTCCTGTCCATGGGCTGCAGGGAATCACCTGTCATATAAACCAATATAGCTTGGCTGTTCACACAGTTTCCACCTCACTGAGTGGTCCACCTCACTGAGTGATCCACCTCACTGCCCACTTCTCTAACCCGCACCTTTTCAGCCTGCCTATGGGGACATTATTGGAGACATTGTCAAAAAACCTACTAAAACTGAGGTAAACAACATCCACTGCTCTCACACCATCCACCAAGCCAGTCACCTCATTACAGAAGGCTATCAGATTGATCAAGCATGCTTTGCTCTTCATAAATCCATGCTGACTGTTCCTAACCCCCTTCTTGTTCTTCCTGTGTTTGGAAATGATTTCCAAGAGGATTTTCTCCGTCAGCTTCCCAGGCACTGTGGTGAGGCTGCCTGGTCTATAGTTACCTAGATCTTCCTCTTGCCTTTCTTGAAGTTAGGAGTGGCACTTGTTCTCTTCCACTCTTCAGGAACCTTTTCCAGTCACCATGAGCCTTCAAAGATAAGCAAGAGGGGCCTTGCAAGAACATCATCCAGCTCACTCAGCATCTGTGGGGGCAAACTAAGGACTTATCTATGTCTAATGTGTTTAAGACTCTCTAACCTGGTCCTCCTCCACCATGGGTAACACCTTCCCTCCTCCTTCCAGCCTTCACTCCTTTATGGAGAGAATTCCATTTTAATATTTCCATTTTCCATCCCCCCAGAACTTTCCCAATATCATATAATTATTAGGGCAGCTAGAAATACTTCTGACTCAGAATTTCAAGGAAGAAACAGATGTAAAAAGTGATACTGAGAGGTAAGTCCAGTGAAAATCCAAGAGCATTAAATCCAAAGACATCAACTTCTCCAAAGGCA